ACTCCCCTCTTTTCCTAGGCGCTCCAACTCTCTATTCTAATACGCTCTATGTATTATCTCTTTTAATCACGCGATCTTCTTTATACCTTTTTTATTTATCATTTGATGCATGCTCTCGACTTTATCTCCAAGCATCGCTTTAGACCTCGTCAATTGCGGTTACGTTTGATTCCGCACGCTGACAAAGTAATTAACGGGATAGTATCTAGATGCGCTGTAATTATGTCGCAAGGAAAGAGGAAGAGAAATATATAAAGCGAGAGAGTGAGGGAGAATGAAGCCTCCAGTGAAATGGATTACTTTTCTGTTTTATTTCGTACTTTGACGCGGCATCAAAAGAATGTTCGCTGTTCTTCAAACTAATGTGCTTTCTTTTTGCACTGTTGGTTGTCAAACTTATAACTTATTTCTCTGCGTTTATCGTAGGAAAGTTCTGCTTACGTTCTATCATGATGACGTAGTTTTTGAATAATGTTCGAGATTAAAATTGATCGAACACTACATGAGATGCTTAAAGTAAAAAATATATTTATTTTTCGATTTTTCTTAGCTATTAATATACGTGCGAGTGTGCGATTTTAAAAAAAAATGTTTTAAATCCGTCGTTCCTTTCCAATATTATAACCTTGAAAATTGTAATCCACTTATAGATACACAATAAAAATAACAGGACACTACAGAAAATTTAAATAATATATCACATAAAATAATACTTAACTTAATACTTCGTATTGCTATTTTATTTTGTAGAATTTTTTAAGATGGCATTTTTTAGTATTTGACTGATTTAAAATTTTGAATTTCGAATATTCTCAAGTCCAGTGCCACGGGCCACAAGCAAGAAATATTTAACATAATATTTATATTTAAACTAACGTAATAGAGCATGATTTCTTTTTGTTGACAATTTCTATTTTTACTGAGCTACTAAACAAGTACTTCTTTAAAGAACAAAGAGATAATGTCGAGTAAAATTAACATAACCATAATGTCAACTAACTACTACGATGAAAAAATTACAATACATTCTATATATATTTATTATAATACATTATAATAAATGATAAATAAATTCTAAAAATTTCCATAAGTAAATGAGAGTATTTTTTAAAGGCTGACATTTTAATTATCTCAATGGCTTTGCTGTCACAAGCTTTATCAAATCTCGTGTATGTAATCGACTATAAATTAATTAGGTTCTTTTACCGAATGCAAAATATATTACATAAGTTGTTGAAATATTAAAAAAAAAAAATCGTTGTTACAATTTTATATAAATTTTATATAAGTTTTAAATCTTCTATTTGTAATCGAAATATTCAGCTATCTATACATTAATTAAAAAGTTGGAATCTCCTTAGCTTTGGAAACTTCAATAATTCTAATACCTAATAACTTTTTTATTGTATATTTGTACCAGTATTCAAATGTATGCCACGGCTATTTACATAAAATTCCTAGAAGGCTCGTATTGTGAGACGTCATTGTAAGAAAAAGTTAGTAATATTGATAAATTTTATCTCGGTGATATTTTTGGAAGCGATGATCGATAAACGATGTTTATTCGTTTATAATACTGCCAATTTCAATATTCACAATAATTCACAGAGAAATATTTCAGATTACACATCGAAACTTTCACGTAATATTATTTTTTTTATTATTCTGCATATTAGCGGCTCTAGTATAAATGACGCGCAAGGAAAAGTTACTTAACCCGAGAAATGTATGACTTTTCGAAGAACAATTTTCAACCACCAGTGATAACACATTCGATGGACAATATTTATCGTCGTGCAAGCGGACCATCGCGTTTCTATATGAAACATATGATAATATACATGTTCAAGTGCAACGTTCGACCCTCACCTACAAAAACCCGTTTTTGTAACGACAAACTCCAAAAAAACGAGCGGTAGAGAAGAAAGCGGCGAGGAAAACATTAAAAAAAAAAGAAAAAATGGAAGGCTTCCCGCACTCGTCACAATGTCGTCTCCCAATTTCCCTCAATGGAACGTCGAGCGCGTGTTGAGTTAAAAATGCATGGGCCTAGGATTCCCTTTATTCCCATATAGCTAACTCATCCTCAGCGATTTTTTCCGCCCCGCGGGCACAACATCTAGCAGCCCCTAGGATATTCGTATCGCACATCTCGATACAAACAATCTTCCTCTCTTCCCTTCGCTACTGCTCCCCTCCCGATCCCTTACACAGGCGACCGTGAAAATTATAATCGACCTTTGAGTTATTCGCTCCCGGAATCTCGTGCAACTTTTTCCGTTTGAGTTACAGTGAGGGGTCGCTCTTAATTTTTTTCCCCTCCCTTTGCTTCTGCCATCCTCTGGGTTCACAAAATGTCCATTTCAATTTAATCCTTTGACAAGTCGACGCCATCATTTCATTTCATTTGTAAGACATATTCATTATCTGAGTGGGCGATTTTTAAAAAGTGTCGAGCTTTTATATGCTGTTGTATAATTATATATAGAGAAGCGTGCGCAGACATTAATCGTGGTGATATATATTATTTAACAGCAATATATCGTCCCATGTAATGACATAGTCATAATATGATCGTTGGATAGTTAATTTAGAACAATTCAATTAAAAAAAAAAGAATAAATAAAAGAAAACATTATTCTATGAATTTCGTCGATAAGATTGCCATTTTAATCATTAACACTTTATAGTCAATATTTGTATTGACGCTGCTTCAAATCTCGGATAATAATACTTGACAAGAAATCGATTTATTTCACATGGAAACACGTGATGCACTATATCTCAAGATAGAATTTTGATCAGAAAAGTTGATGTAAGTAAACATGTATCTTAACATTATATTAAAAATTTATTGATCAAAAGTATGCAATTATTTTTCTCCGTTACTACTATTTACGAGCTGAAAATTATTTGGATTGATAATGAATTTTATTATTTAAGCCATTGTTTATAAATTTCATTTCATTGCTGTTAATAGCCAAAGGCAGTACAGTACAGCTTGATTAAAATGGGGAAGAAGAAACGATGGACAATTGTTTATAGTAAACTAAGGAATAGCGAATTTAATAAAAAAAATTTAATGAAATTGTAATAGAAATTAAATAGCTTTCTTTATTAAATTGACATGAACATCTAGGACAGACTATTTTGGTCATTCATTTATTTGTCATTAACATTTGTTTCGCCTCTTTCATCTCGTTAAGGAAAATTTCAATTGATTAGAATAGCAAAAGAGTCGGTAGGCGGACGCATCGAAAAATTAAACCCATAAAAAAACTTTTAATTATTAAATGAAATTTCAAAACGCATTCTAAAACGCTTAAAGTAAAGTAATTTCTAAATGGCCATTCAAATAAATTATAAGTAAAAAAGTACCTTGACATATTATAGAATCTGTAATCTTGCTTTTCTAAAAGTCATATAACAAGTTTTATTCTTTATACGATGGCATAAGTATAATAAATAATTTATATCGATCATTTTGTATATATCTTATCTAATACAGCCTTTCGTACTATAATTTTCGTTAACCAACATGCACGCACCCACATGATTACGTAGTATTTTCTGAAAATTATATAGCTAATAGAGGGATAATTATCGAATAACCTTTCAAAATAATAAATTTGCTAGCAAATATATTCTCTAAATACAAATTCAATTTAACATATATAAACAATTTATTATCAAGCATTTTTACATAAAAAGAAAAAGTAAAATAATATAATAAAGTTAAATAATAAGTTAAAAAAATCAATTTTAATAAACGTGCAAGAGTATTATGGAGAATAATTATACTTTATGCGCTAATGAATGTTTAGAATAAATTCTTTATTCTCGAACAAGAATAATCAATGGAAATATGCCGAAAAGGTAGAGATTCGAAAATAGGTTGCAAGTTTGAGTTACTCACTACTGACAGAACGAAAAATCAACGGCTTGGCCAGCTTTAAGGAAGCAGTCTACATTCTCCGAAGATAGAAAAGTCGCGAGTAACCAGGAAAAGAAAACTCGGCTCGACGGCTCGACGGCTCGACGGCTCGACGGCTCGACTGCTCGAAAAAGGGGGGAAAAAGCCCCTGAGATAAAATGAGTTCGAGCAGTATAGATACACGAGATATACGAGCGCGGTTATACATTCATAAGGCGGATAAAAAGGGAGCGGAAGCAGGGAAACAAAAAGTAAAGGGGGAAAAAACGGACACCAGTTTCGTGTCTATGTAGAAATATATACTCCGGTAGGTTAAAGAAATAGGATACGACAAGAATATTCTCTTTAAACCCACATAAGCCCGTGTGAGTGCGCGCGAGCGTGCGTGAATGCGTGAATGCGTGAATGCGTGAATACGTGAATCGTGAATGCGTGAATGTATTCTCTTTAAACCCACATAAGCCCGTGTGAGTGCGCGCGAGCGTGCGTGAATACGTGAATGCGTGAATGCGTGAATACGTGAATGCGTACATGCATGAATGCGCAAATGCGTGCATGCGTGTGCCTACGCGGCCAGTCGCACGCGTTCCGTGTAATAAGCGCGGTGCAAATCACTCGAGGTGAGAGACATGAGAAAGACGGTCAAGATGTATAGATAGGGTCCGGGGTAAAGAAGGAAAATGTTCGACTGTGACGATGACGACGGCGGCGGTGGCGGCAGTGGCGGCGGCGGCGGCAGTGGCGGCGGCGGCGTTAGCCGCGTGGTTGCGCGACTACGGCGCGGGCGGCAAGGAAAAATAACAGAGGGGAAAATCAAATGACACTATATCGATTCGGCGAGCCGCATCAGTGTTGTGTCGAGGTCGTGTCACATTGCTCGGACCGCCGTTGCCAAATTTCAAGACAGCGGGGGAGAGCCTCCTACGCTGGGTTATCGCTTGCATTCCCAACGACTCTCGCGACGATATAATACATGCTCGACACTCCTTTTAAAAGCCACGCGCGCACGCAGACGCGCACGCAAAGGCAAAGTCACGCATAAACAAGAGGAGCGCTGCTCTCATACCTTTCGGATGCCATGTTTCGTCGCTCGGACCAGGCACCGCGACCGCTGCCCGCTGCCCTCTGCCAGCCTCCGAGGCGAAGACGTCCCTCGGCCTCCTGCCGGCTCCTCCACTCGCCCTTCGTCCTCGAGCCCGCCGCGCACGTTCGACACTGGTCGACACGCGCGCGCACCGCTTCCTCTCTCTCTCCCTCGCGCGCTCCCTTTTCCTCGGTCGGGCCAACCTCGTCCTAATCAAGCGACACGGGCACGTCCTCCTCCTTGTCGGCCAAGAATCGTCGCGTTCCTGGGCGCTCGCCCTTCCTCGGCGGCGGTGCCCAACTGCTCTGCCATTTTCCGCGCACCAGCACACCCGAGTCCCCCCGCACACGCGCACTCCCCAGACCTTCGTCTCTCCGCTCGTGTCACCTCGCTCACCAACTCACCCTCTCTTTCTCCCGGTACGTACTTCGATACTCGAAGATGTGTGCGAGATAGAGATAGAGATAGAGATAGAGAGAGAGAGAGAGAGAGAGGCGGAGCGAGCTGACAACACACACGTCCTATTGCTATTGCTATTGCTATTGCTGTTGCTGATGCTGTTGCTGTTGCTGTTGCCGTTGCCGCCACCGCCGCCGCCTCTGCTCCCGCTGCCGTTTGCTCCAGCTCGACCCCTTCGATATTACTGCTGTCGCTGCTGCTCCTGCCGAGGCTACTGCCAGCCCCACCGCCATTTTCCCTCGCGCCGCACTCTACCGTACTTTGTATAGAAGCTGCGACCCCCACTAGATCGCGGGAACAACTCTCTCTCTCTCTCTCTCTCTCTCTCTCCCACTCCAACTCCCACTCCCACTCCCACTCTCTGTATCCGAGCGCGCGCGCCTTAACATTCGTCTGTTCGCTGTGAGAGTGAGTGAGAAAGAGAGAGAGGGAGAGAGAGAGAGAGAGAGAGAGAGAGAGAGAAAAAAGAGAAGAGAGAGAGCGAATGCGGCCACTAGAACGTGGAAGAGGGATGGGGAATACGAACGGCTGACAGGGGTCAATGACGCTTATATTCTTGACGATCTTCACGGTCAGGTATCCCGATTTTCCTGAATCTTTATCAAATGCTCGTTACATTTCAAAAGAAGGACTCGTCACTCTCTCTGCAAGCGGCGTCTTAGAAATTCCGACCTCTATTTTGAAAGGATTTAAGCCCGATGGATAACCAAATTTTATGGTTTCGTCTACGTCAGCCACCGACAGAGGTGCACAAAATCTTCGATTTTTTCAAATTTCGCGCCGTGGCGCAACGTGACGGGGGATGGCGCGCACTTCTCCGTTAGTTTATTTCATTTTTTTCTCCAATCTTGGAGGTGGTGCTGTTGCCTTTTACTGCTTTCTTGTTATCATCTGATATATTGGTGCTTATGAACGGTAATGATAAAAGCAACTCTTGCCGCGCTTCCTCTCAATTTTCTCTTTGTATTCTCTACATTACATATTTTACATATATGCACGCCCACATTTATTTTTACAATTATATTAACAATCATATATTATATTACCAATTGATTAATTTTTTTTCTTACTTTTTCTTTTTTTTCTTTCTTTTTTTTTTTTGTACTACGCGATGCACGGCGCGAATCTTTTTATATGCCAAAAATTTAAAGCTACTCTCGAAAACACTTTATAACTATATAACATTTTACCAAAAAGATCTTACTTAATTTGCTAAAAGGTAATACAAGTAACAAGCAATTAATTACCCATTCGGTTTCGCACTATTCTTTAATAATGATCTAAATTTCATTATTATTCGATAACGATTCATAACGATATTTTGTTGCTGTCACTAGTAAACAAATAGAACCGATGTGCATAACGAGCACTATGTGTCAACCGATTTATGCATTTATCCTTTAGGGACGGATCGAATTTACACAAAGCAAAACAAAACAAGACAAACAATAAACAGAAGAAAAAGAAAAATAAAAACAAAAACGAAGGCCTTAGATGAGAAACGAAAATATTGCGATAACCGAACCATGCACGCGGGATTAGCACTTTCACATCGCAGTCAAGCGAACGGTACGGAGAGAAAAGACGACGTGCACATGCTCTTATCTTCACTCGTGCCTTTTTCTCCGGACGAAAAAGAGAGAGAGAGAGAGAGAGAGACAGAGAGAGAGAGAGGGAGAGAGAGGGAGATAGCACGTGACTATATTCGAGGTAGTGCAAGAAACTTTCCTCCGGAGACTCTCAAGCACTAAGCCGTGCATCTCCTCTAAAGCGCGAGGGTAATGTCGACGTATAGTTGGAAGCAACTACCGGCGACACGCATCGCGCCATCTGGCATCAACCTCTCGCGCACCAAACAACAAACCGCCGGCTAAACCGCATTTTATTGCATTATACACAACTGTGAAAATAAAAACCAAAGATAAGTGTATTTTCGGATAGGAATAGTTAGTTGTCTTTTATTTGATCTCTTATGCATTGTCCCGGGTAACGCTAAATGCCGTGAGCTTAGCTAAGTCTTATTTGTGTCGAATTTCGAATAATTTTCTGTCATTATTAAACTCGCAAATTAAAAGCAATTATAAAATATATTATTTTGGAGCATATTATTTAAAACTAGCTTTATTCTTACTAAAGTATCTCTGGTCTCTAATTGTCTTTGGGATGAAGATGTCGGATTGCAACACGAGATGACATAATTTTAGTCATCATTTCTTTTTGCCAAAGTTGACAACTCGGTGTATCGTGTGGTTAATGCAAAAGCTGTGTATAAATTATAGACTATGTATGGAATTCTATAATTTTAATTCTAACTAATGTTATAAAACTTGGATACAATTAAATGTGTCATTAATTGTAAATTGCACGAAAATTAAAAAAAAAACTATGATTCTACCTGGTAATAATGAACAAAATGAAAAATCGTTTAAATTTTATAATATTCATTATTAGTAAAAGAAAATACCTTCAAAATCTTCTAATCGTAATAATTTCTGTTTAAACAATATTTTGTAGTTATATAGCACTCACGGTACATTAAATAAATTATTGTCGATTAAAGAATTGTCGACTTAAATTTGTCAAAATTCGTATTACCGTTTAAAAGAAATACATATGTATTAATTAGAATTTTTAAATTTATATTATTTTTCTATTACAAATATTTGATTCAGATGGTACGATAAAATTTATAATTTTTTAATTATTTTATTATGGCAGTTATAAAAAAGATAATTAATGAAAATATTTATTTATCTTCAAAAAAATATATTTTTAACATAAAACTGGTTTTTGTATTTTTGAAAGATCATTCAAAATTTTTCTATGATGTTTTGATCTTATATCAAACATACACCAATTGAACTCATTGTAAACAAGCATTCCAAATGGATTAGTTAAACAATATTGAAATTATTATAACTAATTTTTATTATATTAAAAAAAATATATATATATAATTATAATATACTTAAATTATTATAACTATTTGTCATGCATGGAATTATTATCTATCGGACAAACATTATAAACAATGTAACAATGTTCGTAAAAATTTCTGAGTAATTATGCAAATTCATACTTTTTAATTGGCATTCTTTCAAATACGAATTTGTTTATCAACATTTATAAAGATTTTTTATAAATTGAAGTATGTTTAATGCTACATGGAAATCAGGATGATAGTGCACAAGTGACCCATTCTAATAAATAATTAATTACAATGGATTTCAATAAGGAGCTGTCTTATATAAAATAAAGACTTTTCGAAGAATCTCGACTGATATGCGCAAGTAGGCATCTGTTACGCGTACTGCTGTATAATGGATTTTTACTGTAAATATATTATAAGAGTGCTAATACGGACTTGCGCTGGCAGAAATGTAGTTGTAGCTTGTAAGGAACTGCGGAGCAACCAAAATGAACAAATGAAAAATAGCACCCATACAAACCTCTAAATGACCACATTACAACGAGAAATTAGTTTAATCTAGCCGAACCTAACATTATTAAGATGACTTTAAAAACATTCATGTAATAACACTTTAATTGAATAGATTATTCAATTCAATAAAATAAACACTTCTTATAATATTTCTATTATATCTTGACTATTAAATTAAAACAAAATATTAATAATATTGCTCGTATGAAAATTTAAATATTTGCTAAAAATAGCTGTTATTTTCAATAATATAAATGCCTTATATTAAACAATTAACTTGAAGGACAACATATTATAGAAAACTTTGAATTAATAACTTTTTGAATAAATACGTTTCTAAAAGACCTAGAAATAAAAGTGAAGTTATGAAAACTAAACTAATTGATTTTCATTGCACACAATTTTTTATTCAATAATGTAAATCTAATATCTTAAAACGATTCATCAAAATTAACAGCTGATTTATTTGCTTAGAAACTGATTGTCCTCTTGTTATGTAGTCAATAACATTGACTATAGTTTTACAACAAATAACAATAAATTATTATATTTTGTCAAGCACCTGCATTTAATCAATACCTACATACCTCATAAATACCATGCATATAATTTTTTGGCATATTTTTTATAAATTTTTATTTGACTATTAGAGAGCTTGTATTATTATAAGAATTAAGTTGATTTTTAAGGTGAATGCCTGAATAATAATAAAATTATATGAGAAAATGAATTTGTGTTTTTTCAATTTTCATTGTCTAATTGCATTTATTGTAATAAAACTAAATGCTTCGCGATTGTAATTATATTACAATTCACAACGAGTTCTTTAAAAGCTGTATAAAATTATTTCCAAATTAAACTGTCCATGCTTAACGATCGTACTCTACAACGTATAAAAAATTATGATATACTGATGAAACCTCCGTATCTTATAATTTCAATAATTATATAATCATAATAACAAAAGTAACTGACAATTTATCTGCCTAATGTGAAGTAGCCCAGATTCAAATAGAATAAATTAATAGACATAATTGTCACGATGCTAATTTGTAAACGGAGATTATATTTGCCTATAATTTGAATTTTATCGTTTTTATAATTAATTTTACACTTAAATTAACTCCACTGTTAATTAAATTAACAGCTACTAAATATATAATAATAACAAATTTAAAAAATTTACTTTTCATTTTATTCGACTACTTGCGAATATAGTTTATGTTTTTTTTCTCTTAAACCTTTCTTACTTTTGTTTTTTTCTGATTCGTTCAAGGTTGAACTTTGAATATACGTTTATAGATTTTTAAAATTTGCAAAAAGCATTCGGGACCTTTTCAGAATCTTTTACAGACCCATACCGACAAAATAATGCAGAAGCCACAAAAGAATAAATATTTGTTCGCACAGCTCTCTGTAAAATATGATACGCCTACAGGAATCTTGATTTCTATCCAAAATTCTTCGAATTAGGTGACATTATATAAATATTCCAAGTCTCTTCACAATGTACTTGCAAAGGTAAACAGCCTAACAATACACAATAAATGACTCAAAAGCAGGAGGGAGAAGATAAAACCATCGGTAGGTAGCAGAGCAGCTCACGGCTGCCTGCCAGTGAAAACTAACGGTCAGATACGCTTAAAGAGTAAGCGAGATAGATAGATAAATAAATAGACAAATCAAGAGTTGGAGCTACGACGGTTGGAGGGGGGGGGGGGTGTGTACTCCATGATAAATTTCCCTAAGAATTAGTTTAAGTATCAGATTGAAATCTCTGCAAATCATCTTTACAAAAATTTTATTACACTTTTTTTTTAAATACCATTTCACAAGCTTTTGTATTGTGTCTTTTTAAACGACAAGAGTTTTAATAATAATATATTCTAACATTAATTTGATTGCACTTGTTCGATTAAGAAGAGAACTAAATATTTGAATTTGCAATGAAATATTTAGAGCGCAAAAGAATTTTATGCATAAGAGAACACAAATACATTTTAAATCTTGATTACAATTTCAGATACCAAAAATGAAAATAAGTATTCTATGTGAAGTCCGGCACTACTACAAAATCTATCAATAAACAAATGCTAATGAATCATTGAACGCATAATGTAGAATTTAACATAAAATATTCGAAACATTTGAAGATCGCAAAAGACTAATTGTAATAGGCTAAGACTTTGTGCTTTTTGTTATTGTATATTCACATATATCCGAACGTAAAAGTCTCCGCAGCGCCATCTCTAGTCGTTCAATCGTATAACCTCGATAGATGGATGGATGAGCCATTCAAAGTAATATACATTATTATACTTTGCTTACACACCATTTTTTGCATAATTTTTTGTCTTGATAAATATATTTTCGCATTTTTTGTGCACGAAACTCGTGTTTAATACAACTGAGAATCATTAGAATTATTAACATTATTAAAATATCGATAAAGAACTGTTCCATAAGCAATTATACAACCACAGGACAGATATTGTTTTTCTTCAATTAGCAAAGCAATTGTTCATTTGCGAAACGTCGTTTTCACTTTACCAAGGTCGCTATGGATCAAGACGACGTTTTAACGATATTAAAAATTTTGATGATAGGTGAGACTAACGTAGGGAAATCCAGGTAAGTTTGTGTACTTTTCGATTATCGATTTTCTATTTTTCGTACAAGGTGAAAAATACTTCTATAAAAATAGTAATTGCATTTATTTATTTTGTTTTGATGACAGTATTTAAGGTTACTTCCAAAGATTATATATATATATATACATATATACACATGTTTGTATACTCCCTGTGCTTTAATAATTACTTTAATACGTAGCATAGTAATGTAATAAATTTTTATATATATAGGCATAGCTTTTTTTTTAATACATACGTTAAATTTTTTTTACAGTATTTTACTGAGGTTCATAGAAGATGAATTTAACGACACTATGCAAAATACCGTTGGAATGGATTATAAATCGAAAAAAATTACAATTGATGGCAACACAGTTAAATTAGCCATTTGGGTGCGTTTTCATTGTTAATTATTTTGTACAAATTATAAAATTCACTAAATTTCATTATTTTGTAGTCAGTTTTACCATAATTATTGTGTAATTTTTAAATCGAGTAAAAAAATGAAAATGAAATGCGTTTTATAAGAGATTTAATCTAAGAAGGAATCTAAGAAATTTTAAACGAAAGAGAATTCGTAAAATTTACATCATTAGTTATTGAGCCACATTAGTTAATAGTACAATCTTTATATTTATTATTTGGTATATCATTTAAATAATTTTTAGGATACTGCTGGGCAAGAAAGGTTTCGTACATTAACACCTAATTATTATCGAGATGGTCAAGGAGCTATTTTAGTATATGATGTTACAGATAGAAGCACATTCACGAAGCTAGAAATGTGGCTAAATGAATTATATACATATTGTAATAAAACAGACATCGTAAAAATGGTAGTAGGTAATAAAATTGATCTTCCAGACAGACAAGTTAGTACCGCGGAGGGCTTACAATTTGCAAGAAGACATCAAACACTTTATATTGAAAGTAGTGCAAAAACTGCAGATGGTATTAAATGCTGCTTTGAAGAACTTGTACAAAAGGTAGACAAATAAATATATTTAAATTATTTCTCATGATTTCATTGATGTATATTATTTGCAATATATAACAAATATTTTAAATATTTATATAAATAAACTCTTCATTATAATATACTTCATTTTAATACATCACATTGTAGAAGTCTTAACTTTAACTTAATATAAATTGATTCTAAATATTATTGTACATCTATTTGCAAACAAAGAATTAATTCTTTTATATTTTAAGATTAAAAAATTATTATTTTTTTATTGATGAATTCAAAAGTATATTTTTTCTTCAGATTATTCAAACACCAGGTTTATGGGATTCGTATGCTTACAAACCTTTTTACACTGCTAATGGTGTAAGTGGACCAAGGAATCGTACAGGTAGAAGAGGATTAAAATTGACAGATGATTATGAACCAGATAATAGCTACTCAAGCTGTTATTGCAATTTAATATAATTTATAGGAAAAGATCAAATTGTAAACTGTCGTAAATAATACCAAACATTAATTATATATTTTGAATTGGATATAGCTTTAACATATATATCACTATTGAACAAAACCAAATTATATACACATGTTGTGTGTTTAATCATCCATTTGAAATTGCCTTTATTTAAAATATAATAAATTTTTAATCTTTCATAATGTTTTAAATATTAAAAAATAATAAATTAAAAATTTGTTACATTAAAATTTACTAAGTTTAATATTTATATATTTTAAGATATTTGTTATTAATTTTAACAGCACATTTTAGCACATTTCAAACTCACGATTCTCAAGTAAAATCATAAAAAACTTAGTTGATAAGATTTTATTATATTAAAATATTTTGTAGTTTTTTTTATATTAGTTATACCACAAGATTTTCTATTTAAATATAAAATATTTGTACTACAGCATTTATACATTGGTAGATAATGCGTTGTGTTTGATATTTCTGTGGCTATAGAAATCAATAAATTTATAGTTTTTATGTATATTGTGATTATTAAGTTTTAAATGTTTCAATGAATCATTATAAAACTGTTTTGACACAGTAAATTTGTTGTACAAAAAGCATTGTAAAATATTTATTTGTAAATAAAGTAGCCTTTTCATTTATCAATGAAAAATTGTGTATAACTTTGTTTTCATATTTTAACATTGCTACAAAAAACGTTTATTAATAAGCTCAAAACATATCGAAAAACATAGAAAAGTAATATGCAATTCATTTAAATAACTTTTTATCTTATGGAAAATTTACATATTTAATTTAATGAATAAGTCGTAATTAAAATACAACAAATTTTTTCAATATTAAATTATATTATTGATAAAAAAGATATAAAATTCAAAATGATGTTTCATATTTTGTCAGTAAACAATATATAAAATGATTAGTTTTTAAAAATAGATTTATTATTAATTGGCACAATAATAATTTCTGTGTTTGGGTATAAAGAAAAAGTTTATGTATAAAGTGCATTAATTTGTAGAAAATTCTTTTATTCGATTAATTTTAATGAGTCTCGTACATTTGTTACATATTCATTGTAAATATTCCGAGCGCAATGATCGCACTCAATATGAGTAGATATTATTATAACAAATGTAAGGACATCGCAATGTATAAGACAGGGTGGCAATGCACCTCAGCAATAATAAACTGTGTAATGTCGAATTTTCGTAAAATATTCGGTCACAAAAATAAAAAAAAATATTAAGTTTTTACAATATAGCATATCGAAGACAATTCGAATCATTATGACTCGAACAGGGTTTACCACGTATTTCGCTTTACAATTGCATTGAATACTGCACGTATACATTGACCATGAAGTTAGTACAGGGAGTTCTGGTCATTGTCGAAATCATTTTCAGACTTTATATTTCTCCAAAGTATATTAATTTCGAACTGCCCTGTATAATATTATAGTAGGCAACAATGTATAATATTCACTGAAACTTTTATAATCTGTATTAGTGTAATATGTATTTTAAAAAAGGAAATAAAAATCTGTACTATTATCAATTGCAAGGTACGCTCAAGCTATGCTGGGTTTTAAGCTAGATCAACAGGTCTTATAAATTGTAAATATAAATTGACTTATGTTATATTCATTTTAAATCTTAGATTACCAATCCATTTCAATTTATCATCACAGGTGACTTACATTTTGAGAAGTCTATAGAGTATATACATTTCATGAATGAAAAATTACTATAATATTTACATTAATATTTTGACTAGCGATTAGTTGTAAATTATCTATTCACTCGTCAAAATAACATTATAAATACATAAGATATTTTTCTCGTCTCAATGTACATTTACATAATAAATTTATAATTTCTATTTTTATCTTAAAAATAAAAATTATAACGTAATTTATTTTGAATAGGGACTTATAATATATGGTACACAAATCGTTTAATCAGAAGCAAGCAAAAATGTATGATAAAAATTAAATAGCAGCCAGCACATTTTGCCGTACTCTTGTCTGGTACGAAGTTGCATCAAATCTTAATAAAATAGCAAGGTATCAAAATATATGTTTTGCATCTATCTGTTTGGTCTACTCCTGAGCTACTAGCAGAATAACGGATTTTCGAATAATCAATGTTTTTTTCGCAACTTTCTAAGTATATAAGTGGAAGTACAAGTAGAGAAGTAAAGAAGTCCATGAACGTTCTACAGATGTTATCATTAAATTAATCGCAGAATCAAACACCATTGACAAATTTAATATCGACTACGAAGATAAATTAAGATAATTAAAATTATGAAAATGAAAACTAGAAATGAATATCTTACTTATCTAATTTAAATAATTAAAAACGGTTTTGCAATGCCAAACTAAATGTAAAAAATGAAAACGTATGAATATTTTATGAATTCTAAAAGTTCTTCAAAGAGGCGAATTAGATATTAATAACATATCTGATTCAGTCCTACGAAGAAGTGAAGGTACGTTTAGACTAATTATCTCTAGAGCCACGGTGATTCAGTCGGTAGTCTCAGATTCTGGTTCTGATCTCGATGGTCCTCAAAGATCACGTGAATTCAATCCTCCGCCTCAGCCACTCAACTCCCTGGTATTTTTTTTTTTTTTTTTTTTTTTTGTGGTAAATGTAAAAAATTTTT